ATAGCTATGAAATGCAAGACTAATTGTGCTTTACAGAGGAACCTGTTAATACAGCAAGCCCAAGCAGAAATAATAAGCTTAATATACTAGGTGGAGAGAAGTTTTAATGTTAGCATGCAACAATATTATGTTGAAGCTTTATTTGTAAACTTTTAACCTCAAGATACATTCCTTTTGTATACTAGAGGAGTTAGAACTGCCATCTTTTTAAAAAAATTTTACTTATTGATGGGAGAGAGAGAACAATTTTTTTGCTCCATATATTTATGCATTCATTGGTTGATTTTTGTATGTGCCCCACAATGTTGGCATTTCGGGACAGTGCTCTAACCAACTGAGCTACCCAGCCAGGGCCGCCATCTTCTTTTATGGCAAATACCTCTTCCATCTAAAGTTGAACAGTATCACCTAGGTAACACATCAGTGTTTCCATTTTGAATTGTATTTCTTACAATTTGAATTGTTAGTAAATTCTTACAATTTACTAACATACGTACAAGAAATCCCTATCAATGGGCATTTATAACAAGCAAAACAAAAACACTTCTGATCTAATTTTCATCTTTCACCTGTCTTCTATTGTTCATAGGTTTTCGTGTTATTATTCCACTTTTGCTTTCCTTTGCGTCTAACTGGTCTTTAGTTCTGCCATCTGCTCTTCTCTAGCAGGATAAACTAACTCTACGTTGTCACATTTTACTAACAAAAGCATGGCTTGCAATCACTGAAAACTCTAGAAACCAAAAGTTGCAAAAATAAAGATAAACAGTAATTTAAGTTTTATTCAGGCAGTGGCTGGTCTCAGGATCTCAATGATGTAGTATGAACTGAAAGAAATAAACTTTCTACAACCTTCAAAGCAGTGAAGAGTATCCTAAGAAATCTTCAATGGCAATCAATAAATTCTAAATTCTCCGTAAGAAAAAAGAGGATAGTTAACATGTGAGAAGTTAACATTAAGGGCTTGCTTGCCATAGGCCCAAGATTGTGCTAAGCACTTTATACTAGTTCACTTAATCTTTCTGAAATAAGCTCTATTATATATATACTAGAGGCCCGGATCACGAAATTTGTGCACTCGGGGGAGGGGGCCCCTCAGCCCTGATTGCGAGAGGGTGCAGGCCAGGCTGAGGGACCCCACCTGTGCACGATTGGGGCCAAGGAGCCACGCGGGAGGTTGGCCAGCTGGGGAGGGACTGTGGGAGGGCTCCAGGGCGTGTCCAGCTGGTCTCACTCAATCCCGATCGGTCGGACCCCAGCAGCAAGCTAACCTACAGATTGGAGCGTCTGCCCCCTGGTGGTCAGTGCACATCATAGCAAGTGGTTGAGCAGCCTTAGCATATCATTAACATATTATACTTTGATTGGTTGAATGGCTGACCAGCCGACCAGACACTTAGCATATTAGGCTTTTATTATATAGGATTTTTTAGTCCATGAGGAAATCTAGCTCAAAGCTAGTTTAGTGGACCCAGGATTCCAAGACCGATTTATCTGACACCAAAGTCTACGTTCTTGGCCAGAGCCTAAGAAGAGCTTCAAAAGCATTCCATTAAAAAATCTATACATGCCAATATGTGGTGATAGCCAGAGGGAAATGGGGGTGGGAGGTTGGCAAAGGGGCAGGGGATGGGGACAAAGACTTTGCTTGGGGTGGTGAGCACATGATGCAGTGTGCAGATGTTTCCTTGAGTTGTACACTTATAAAACCTGTATGATTTTGTGAACCAATGTCACCCCAATAAATTCAATTAAAAATGACTTTCCTGGATCATAAAAATACAAAATAATAGATATTTTGACATAATCTAAACCTTCTCTTTAACACACCTTCAATCCTTTATTAAAATCATCGCTCTGGAAAAAAGGCAACCATGTTTGACACATTTGTTGCTTAGTGTAAAAAGAAAGACAAAAATTCTTTTTAGTTGAAATTCTCTGGAAGTTATTCTGGAAGTAAACAAAGAGAAGTTTCCTTCAAACATCTGAAGGACTGTAATTAAAAATTAATTATATTAGGCCTCATATAAAAGGTAAATAATTTGTGCTTTTTCCTCTTTGACAAAACTAGTGTAAAGTTACTCAAAGGCTAATTGCAGAAATTTAATTAACATCATTTGTTGTCTATAACCTAGTACTAAAGTTAAAAATAATAATAAAAATAAACCTTATTTCAGACTAATTTAAATTGGCTAATTGAAATAAATATTTGAAAACTTAATTGTACCAGGCAGTAGGGCAGTAAACGGTAAAAAAATAAAATAAAAAAATAAAATAAAATCATCGCTCTGCTTTGCACACAATTAGCATTCAGGGAGTAGGTGTGAGTATTCATTAGAATTCTTCCAATATATAATTGTTCTATTGAAAAATGGGTAAGAGGAAAGAGGGTGGGAATTCTAAAAATATACAAAAAGAAAACATATTCACTCACAAGTCTGTTGACGTGAGGCTAAGAAGTAATAAAATAGATTCCCATTTCCTCTTTCAAAACACAAGGGTAAATGGGAGCATAATTAGCCACTCAAAGGTGGGCTGTGACCTCCTTCCAAAGAGTAGAGTATGAAGAGGAGGAAGGGGGGAGGGGGGGAAAGTAGCTTTAGAATGGAGAAAATGACACTATCTCAGCCAGGTGATCAAGGTCAGTATCAACAGGCCATGGCCTTCATAATGATGCGATGGAAATGGCACTCACTTATGTGGTCTTCCTCCCCAAAACTCATTAATCACAGTCTAATCATAAAACGCAACGGCCCCGCCATGTGGCTCAGTTGTCTCGATACCCCAAGGTTGTAGATTCGGTCCTCAGTCAGGGCATATATAAGAATCAACCAAAAATGTATAAATAATTGGAACAACAAATCAATGTTTCTCTCTCAAATCAATCAAAATTTTTTTTAAGTCATTATAAAAACACAAGATAAATTCCAAAGGAGGAACATTCTGTAAAATATGTAAACTAAACTCCTCAATATTGTCATCAAAAACAAGTCTGAGAAACCATCATAGCCAAGAGGAACCCAAGGAGACCTAACAACAAATAGTAATGTGGCATCCTGGACCAGAAAAAAACATTAGGTAAAAACTTTAAAATCTTTATTGAAAAAGTGGGTCAATATTGGCTCCTTAACTGTAACAAATGTACCATACTAATGTAAGATGTTAACAGGGGAAGCTGGGTGCAAGGTATATGGGAACTTCTGTACTGTCTTCCCAATTTTTTCTGCAGCTCTGTTCTAAAAAACAAAATCCATTAAAAAAAAAAAATCAAGTATAATGTGAAGTGGCAGAAGAGAAAAAAGCTTGGAGTTCTCTGGGACACACATACTCTTGCTTCTTTTACCCAGCACAGTGGAAAAGATGGAAATTTTGTACCACTAGACTTCAAAATTCACTTAAGGGAAGTAGTGGTCACATTTGATCAGATTGAATAAAATACAATCTGAGGTATTCATTACCTACACTCTGAGAATAAAGGATGAATATTACAAATTATATTGCCTTCCAAACATACTTTCAAAAGAACCATTTGCCATTGCTAGAGTAGGTCATAGCCTCTGAAAATGGCAAAGAATCTTAGATGCATTCTACACCAATGTCCTGGAATTTACTAAGTGCACTAACTACAAAGGAAATGGTCTGTCGGTATCATTCTACCAGTTAGATGGAAGCCTGGTCTTTCTACTGCTGAATTTAAGCTCTTCCCCGACACAGTATAATTCCACTCTGGTTATGATGTGTCAGAAATATCCTTTTTAAAAAATATATGTTTTTTAATCCTCACCTGAGGATGAGAGAGAAACATCAATGTGAAAGAGAAATAGCAATTGGCTGCCTCCCTTACTGGCCCTGACAGGGATTGAACCTGCAACTCTTTGGTGCAGGAGATGATGCTCCAACTAACTGAGCCACCCAGCTAGGGCTCCCATATTTTAAAATGGCACTTGAATATCTAAATATCTAAGTGTATTATGTGTATTCTTTGGAAGTGGGATAGCAGGAAGGAATGCGGAACCCACCAGTGTTACAAACTCTCTGCATCCATTTTCCTTGCATACTAAGTTTTACAGAAACAATTTATATTTAGTACCAATGTTGTACAGGTTAACAAATTATAGAGCAGACAAACTGAATTTAGTTCACTATTTATAAACTATTTAAACTGTCACTACTAGGTGATATATAGGCGAGTTCTGCTTCTCTCCATTGCACGAAGAGAACTGGGGAAAGACTACATGTACATCAAGATCATGCAATGGTAAGTACGGTGATTTGAAAGCAAACAAGCTTGAATTCGTCAGTTAAGTACTATATCTAGTACCCCTAATCAAGATAAAGCCAAGTCAGTAAGTATGATCTCAAATACAAGTGTACTGATGACATACAAACCCACCCATTCGCTGACCAGTAAAAAGGAGGCTTCTGATGATACTGCAATATAGGACACCTGGGGTGGTTCCAGAAAACTCTGCCTTGGTCACAGGCCAACAGTGTTGTATGCTTTCAGCAGGTACTGACATCACAAACCTAAACTCTGGTTTTCCCCCATCAGAACAAGTACTTTAGATAACCCTGAAATGATAAATGTATCATCCAGAGTCACCATAATCCTACCGACATAAGCTCTATCTACCCAAAGGATAATGTACAGATCATCAGAAAAGCATTCCTTGGTACCAAGACTGGAGGATCAAGGTTCTTAGCTGGTGACACTACTTCCTCCTCTAACATGAACATAAACAGGCCTCTTTCTCTTTTCCTCTAGGTTTCGTCATGGTATTCAATAAAATCACTTAAATGGGCAATGATTAGGATAAGTGGTTAATCTCCCTTTCTCTAATTCTCCCACTTTAATTTTAAGTGCCCAGCTAAAATGAGTGCTATAATCTCTCTGTGCTTGAAAGATCTGTCAATCAGGAAACCCAGAACAGTGTTGACAACAATGTTGTGTTTTCCAGCAGACAGTACATATTTATAAAGATAAAAGGAAAGAACACAGATACGAGTGAACAATTTTTATTGAAACCCTCAAAGATTAAAGAGGACCAAATGGTGAGTTTGGGTACCATAACAGAAAAGCTCACCTAACTGTACCATCATTCACGGGAATGAACAAACCCAAACATGACAAAATTCAAATTCTCATGTAATTGCTACAAGTGAATATAAATGAACTAATAATCATTTTATCATAACCTTTCTGTAATCATACGAAAAAGGGAATTTACATGGCATAACAAAAGATATGCAAAACTTAATGAAAACACAATTCTCTTAAATGTCTCAAACTTATTTTTATAGGATGCAGAAAGCACTTGAAATGATTAAATGACTTAAGCTGACTCCTTTTATTGCAAACCATTTTATCATCAGCTTAACCTCCATGCATGGTATTCAAAAAGAAAACAGCTTTTGAATTAGAAAGATCACAAGTTAAAATGAGGAATTAAGTATTGAAATTAGGAAAAGGCTGGGGTTTCTTTTGAAAGGAATCTTCAAGTACCAGTAAGTATAGAGACAGAATACTAATTTTGGTTACATTTTCTCCCTTTCTGTTAAATATACAAACTATTATACCTTCCAAAATAAAATACTTAAGATAACTTTAATAAGAAACATTCAAACCAAATCTTGGAAAAATATTAAGCAAGAAATTTCCTGGGCATGTCTTAATTTGTGATTATTCAAACATTTGATTATGTGTTTCCTGCTGTGGAGCCCAGGTTCTCTCCTTTTTGGTCGCTACAGTTAAACATTCAGTTAGTTTTGCTATTTAGACAGCCTGTGATCATTTCATTTAGAGGGAAAACATTTTGCAATATGTTGATAGACCAAGGAGGAAGAGAAAGTAGGTGCTCTGAAGAAATCGTAAAATGGAAAAAATAATTACCGATTGAAAAAGATAAAGTTTTTATTTCCAAAGGAATGCTGCACCCATTTCACTTGGTATTAGAAATCCAGGTTAAAGGCACTGGGATGTACACCTCACGATGAGCAGGCTACTCAATTACACTAGACGTTTCCGAGTCTGCTGTTGCAATCAGCCCGCTTGCTGCGTGTTTCTGTGACACTTCTTACATAAAAACCAAATGTAAATCAAACACTCAATCCATTTATAATGTAACTAGTTTTATAAAAATATTCAGAGTTGCTAATAAAGCACCAGAAAAAGTGAACCTCAGAGTGGGAATCATATCCTTTCTATGAGGTCTCCCTTTACAGTTTTCTCTAATAGGACCTCCAGAGTGACTGCAGTCATCTTTGACATGTCCTACCTATATAATCTTAGGGATGTAGAACATTGCTGTGGTTACTATACCCAAATGCCAATTTTTATTATAAATAGTTAAGAGACATGTCACAAGGTAAGATTTCATGGCTTACTCTTAAAAAGGTAAAATAGGTGCAACTTTCCTTTAAGAAAGTCTTTATTTTGTAATATACCATTAATATTTTAATGTTCCCTTCAGTAAACACTGATATAACTACAATGGGACTACCAAAGACATGTGAAATAGCTACGATTATCTACAAATACTGTATTTTATTTCACTTGAATACAGCATTTGCACATTTTAAGAAAACATTGTACAAAAAAATTATATAAATGAAAACCTCAAAGAAGTATCTGCCACTAAATTTTGAACTGAAGTGATCAAATATGTAAATGTAAATAAAAAGGTTTCTAAACATGATGTAAACATAAATGCAGTAATGCAAAACACCAAGGTATTCAAATCTACTGTATTGCTATTTTCACCCTTATATCTTTCTACATAGTTTTCTCCTTTTGGAACAGTAATATAAGGGGCAGTACATTATCTTCATAACCATATGCCATCAGATCAATTAATACAGATGACACGTTTAATTATACAAAATCAATTTGCTTCAAGACACAAAATTAATGTTGATATGTAATTAATGAAAAAAATAAGATGTTAAAAAGATAACTATAAGAATACCCAGATATATGCTGTATCCCATTTATATAGATCTGATCAATAAAACATCAACACATTCACTTAGATACTGATTTAATCCATGGATCAAGGCCATATTTTCAAAGTATTTTAAGGATGCCAGGACACTGCAAAAGCTGGAGAAAAGAGTTGAACAGTATATGCTTGCTAAACAAGAACTATGTCTATTTAGCTAGTGAATACCTAGAGTAATAAATGTTTACTTCATGATAGCAATCAGGCTCGCAAACACCCAGAAATAGGAATTAAGGATTTTAAATGTAGTTATAAAGGTCATAAAAAGTCTGATTAGACTGAGGTACATTTACTCAAAATTTTGAGATTCATTAAGTGGTAGCAAACAAAATAATTCCTCAGACAAATGCACATTTTTCAGTTTACATATTATTGGGGGAAGGAGGAAAGAAGAATGTGCATTAACTGGTGAAATCCACCAAGCTGCATATCAATATTCTGTTACACCAAACAATTTAAAGACAAGGAAAATGTTCTAATATAATCTCAGATTATGTTTCATTTGGCTAAAATAGAGCTTAAGGTTGCTTTGCCATATTAAAAGTTTACTACAGTAATTCTTCACATAAACATTTAGACTTGAACTCCAGGACTAAATATGGCATGATTATTTTGCTTTTAATCTGTCAAATAGCTAAAAATCGACAATTTAAAAACTACAACAAAGAAATGTTGAAGCAATGTGACTCTTACATCATTGAACCACTTCTAATAGTTAACTGTTAGTATTTAACAAATTCAAAGAGTTAATGAATCTTTGCATTCATTCAGTCTTCTGTGCCTTAGCTAGGATGCATAATTACAAAAGACAGCAGATACTGGTAAAAGCTTCAGGACAGAAAGTGCTTGACGAAGTTACAGTTCTCAAGTGTGTTTGGTGAGAATATAAGGGCAGATGCGCTGATGAAAATCATTACAAGAGTCAATTCTGTGTTAAAAAGTTCAAAGATGTCACCTTATGCAGAAAAAAAAAAGCTTTAATAATGTCTTCTTTGACTTATTAGGCATTTCCAGAGTCTACATCATTAGTGTTGTAATTCTAAGAGGACATCTTCATATGGTTATTGTTTGTTTCTATTTCTCTCCTGGAAAAAAACACACACACACACAAAAAAAAATGTAACAAAATGCCATCATTTATATAAGATTTAAATTAATATAATGTAAACCATCTCCATAAAAAGTTCTTCAAATACTAATTCAAGTAATTAGTTAAAACTGATTTACTATTATCTCTACACACCATAGTGGGATGATCACCACATATCATTTTTAAGTAAAAACTACAAACATTTATTTCAGGAGAGTAAAGGCCCTCTCCACATCCCTATTTCCCCACAGTATTTTGGTTAAGGTGAAGACATTACAATAATATCTTTCTAGCCCTTTCAAAGAGTTTTTGATAATGAGGTATCAAAGAGACTAAAAGGAGACTGTAGCAATTTCAAAACTATTTGCTCAGGTAGGGTTAGTAGAAAAGGAAATTGGAAAAGAGTCCTATTAAATTTTCAGTGTTAATAAAAATACTTTCAATCACAGACTTCCTCGTTATCATATTCTCATGTTCAGTATAACTTTCCACATCAAGAAACATTAACACTGATTAATTTCCTCTTATAAAGCAGAATCCCCTTGAACAAAAGTTAAAAACTACGTGATGTTTTCATGTTTATTAACTAAATATATTTACCTATAAGACTTCTTTCAATTGAATGCATCAGTGTGTTTGTACCATCTTTGTGTAACTCAGAGGTTCTCAAACTTCAGCAACACCAGAATTATCTGGACGGCTTGTGGAAACACTACTGAGTCCCCAAACTCAGAAGCTGAACAAACCTGTGAGCTTGCAGTTCTAACAAGTTCACAGGAGATCCTAATACTGCTGGTCCAAGAACCACACTCTAAAAACCACTTGTGTTTAACACATTATAAGACTCTGCTTTCACTACTTTCATTTTATTTTTCATGTTCCACAAAAAGAACATACTTTACAAATGGTCAAATTAGTTTACTGTCCTCCGTGACAACATCAGAAAATTAGAGAACTTTAAGTTGTTACCAAATTCATTTTAACATAATCCTAGAACTTGAGTAACAGTATTTAATACAGAAAGCTATTAATTATATGTCCTACTACATAACTACAAATAAACTTATTTCATAGATACATAAGTATCAGCAAGATATTCTGAAATTAAAAAATAAAACAAACATGAAAAAGATAGAGCTAATTGATCACATCTCAAAAGGATAAGCAAAAACAAAAACAAAACAACATAAAGGAAAACACACACACACACACACACACACACGCGCGCGCGCGCACACTAAATTGGTATCATGAAACTTAACCTAATTTTGCAAAGGCCCTAAACATAAATTCAGCCTAAACATAAATGCAGCCTAAACATAAAGTTTGGTTCTCAGAAGATGAAACAGATTTGTATGAGAAATCTGAAGTCTGCTTTAAATAGCTAGATATAAAACACGGTATTATAGATAAAGCAAGAGGATGTTAACAGCACACTGCTCATTCTTCCCATAAAATATGATTGATCAAAACTAGAGAAATTCATCAACTCCATGAAGAGCCCCAAACTATAAAAACAAAGGCCACATTACTTAAGGAAAAGTTAGACAGAGAGAGGTTTAATTCCAGGGAGATCAGTTATATCAATGAGGATCATGTGTTATTTAAATAAAAGTTAAAGATGCTGTTTCAGTTTGAACTATAATCAACTACACATTCAAACAAATCAATAAAAAATACATATTATAAAGTAGATGATAATCAATGTACATAACACATAACCGCTAACTCACTGAACAGGATAAAAAACTTCAAATAAGACAGAAAAGTGGGAGAGCGTTAGTTAGATCTAGATTAATTAAAGCACAAAATAAGATGGCAGAAATATACATTTCTATCAAGCAATAAAAAAATGTAGATTCATCAATGACAACACAAAATAGCAGCTCAGATTTAAAAAATTTATATCCAGTCACACATGATTTATAAGAAATAACTTTAAAACATAGGAGCACAGGAAAGTTCAAAGTAATAAAAGCAAACTAAATGAAAACTGGTATCACTATATTACCATAAGACAAATGGGCTTTAAAGCAAAAACCATTGTTGGAGATAAAATGATCACTACATACTGAGTAAGAATTTTTTTCCTTAAAGCTGTAACAATATTAAACTAAAATCACAACTTTATATATTGAACGTTGTCAGAATTACAAAGACAGGTTCCTAATTAAAATGAGAATTTAACACATTTCTCTTAGTAATTGTTAGAGCAGACAAGTTAGTAAAAATAGAGATTAAATATACAGAATACAGAAAACAGCCAAATAATGACAGAGCACACATTGAACAAAGACAAAAAGTAACAACATGCCGAAGAGTCAGTATCATGCAGCTCGCATTTTCTGACATAAATTTTAGAAGCAAAACAGATAATCCCAACCAAAAAAAACCCACAACTTACCCACATTTGGAAATTCCAATATGTTAAAAATGTGTAACAGTAAGTCCCCGAAAGTAGAAGAAATAAAATAAGATTGCAGCAGAAAAAATGAAACCAAAGCAAAAATAAAGGAGAACCATAGAACTACAATTTAAAGCTGGGTAGGGGGAGGAAGAAATCCAACAATAGGAAAAAAAATCTCTGAAAAGAATGATATTTAAAAAATTAAACATAAATAATATAATGAAGACAGATACAGATAAAAATACCATTAATGTCAATATGCCAGTTTACAGGAAAAGCTAAAGAATGGACAAGCTCCTAAAAATACAATTTACCACAATAAACTCAAGAATAGAAAACCTGAAGAGACTTATAACTAAAGAAGTTTAATCAGCCGAACCGGTTTGGCTCAGTGGATAGAGCATCGGCCTGCGGATTCAAGGGTCCCGGGTTCGATTCCGGTCAAGGGCATGTACCTTGGTTGCAGGCACGTCCCCACTGTGGGGCGTGCAGGAGGCAGCTGATCGATCTCTCTCATCGATGTTTCTGACTTTCTATCCCTCTCCCTTCTTCTCTGTAAAAAAATCAATAAAATATATTTAAGAAAAAAAAAAAAAAAAAGTTTAATCAACAAAAATCTACCACCCAAAAAAGCCACCAGGCTCATACGGTTTTACAGATGCATCTATCTGATTGTCCCAGACTTGAAAATTAATTCTAAACTTACACCAACTGTTCCAGAAACCAGAAAAGGCCTATTTTCTGATGTATTTTGACATTAAAAATACTTTGATACTAACATTGTCATGAAGAGCATGAGAAAACTAACAGTCCAGTCTCACTTGTCACCAAGGAGCTCTTAAGGGCTATTTTGCTGATTAGAGTGAAGAAGAGTAAAGGTGGCAGCAGGAAGGCCAGTAAGAAGGCTAGCAAAATAATTAGCACTTAGACCAGGGTAAAAGATGCAGTTAGTGAAAAGTGCTTGGATTTGGAATACATTTTTAAATCAGGGACAACAAAACTTACTGAAAGACTGATTAGAAATGGGGTGAGAAAGAGAAGTATCAAGAATGAGTCCAGTAGTCTTGGCCTAAACAACTGGAAGAACAGTAGTGTCCTGTATATGATGGAGGAGGTTTAGGGCAGGCAAAGAATTAGTTCTATTACATTTAAGATGGCTTATAAGACAACTAAGTGAAGATATCAAGTAGGCAAATGGACACATGAGTCTGAAGGTAAGAGAAAAGGTCCAGGATGTACATACAAATTTGATAGTCCTAAGTATGGTAAATGTCCATCAATAAAACTCAAGTCCTCCTGAAGTCTCAATACCTATGCTTTAAGGTTCATATTACACAGCCAACTTCATAATTACTCCTACTGGTGGAGTTGGGAGGTAACAATGGGAGAAAGGGAACCTGAACTACACAAAAAAAGCCATGGTCCAGTACACCTGGAGAAGGACTAAGCCTCTAGAGATGGTTCAGAAGATGGCACTTCAAACACGTACAACAGTTAGCATACAAACTTTCCAAAGTGATTCATAGAACTCAATTTGTACCTTTAATAATGATTGACAACTCAAAAAACAATTTGTGGAGGGATCATTTTTCACTAACAGAGCTAGGCCTCAACCAGGCAGATTGAGATTTGACTGCTTTTGAGTCCCGGGCACAGGGCTTCTTCTTCATTCAAAACTGAGCAAAGCCAAACCAGTTTGGCTCAGTGGATAGAGCATCGGCCTGAGGACTGAAAGGTCCCAGGTTCGATTCCGGTCAAGGGCATGTACCTTGGTTGCGGGCACATCCCCAGTAGGAGGTGTGCAGGAGGCAGCTGGTGGATGTTTCTCTCTCATCGATGTTTCTAACTCTCTATCCCTCTCCTTTACTCTCTGTAAAAAAAAATCAATAAAAATATATTTAAAGAAAAAAGAAAAAAAAAAAAACCTGAGCAAAGGCACTGGAGACAACACATGATCTGAGATCCAGAAATTGGCCTGTGGAGGTCAACTCCAGAAGAAAGTTTACTTGCCAATCCATGTTTTTTGACAGCTTATTAACAGATGAGCAAACAAGAGAAGAGCCAGAAAACAAAATTTTCTTCAGTGCCCTCAGAGGGGCCAACAGCTTGCCTTTAACATTACAGGTAAATAATTTATTTCCTTTAATCAGAGATAGGTTTATCACCATTAGCAATTTCTGTTTTCATTAACCAGACCTGAGCACAAATGAACCACCATGGAAAAGTAACTGTTTCTAAGAAGCCAAACTACCCAGAAAGAAAATGAGAATAAGTATTCAGAACACAAATACAATAAAATAGAACTGCTGAAAGAGGCAGTGAACACCAAGGAGGTTGGGGGAGGTGTACAAAAAGCTTGCAAGCAGGCAAAATTTCAAATGCCACAAAAAACAAACACCCTGGCTTATTAGAAATCTGATTTTCATATTAAACATTTCAGTAGATGAATTAAATGGGGAAATGGTCACTGACTCATTTGGGAAGTAGAATACAGAGTGCAAGAATTATCTCAGATTACAGAGCAGGAATAAAAAGGAGGAAATCACAAAGAAAAAATAACTAAAGACTAGATCCAAGACAAAATGAAT